TGCTTTTGGAAGGCACTGTGTGTCTTAATATGTAATCTGTTAACATGCCTGACACCGTGGCTGGAGACACTGCAGAGGAATCAGTAGCTTGGGGTTGATACAACTCCTCTGGGATCTGCCAAAACCAGAAGAAGATTCAGTGTCGTCTTGAGCAACTCAATGCAACACTTCTTTTTTTTTCTTCTTTTTTTTCCAGTTGTTGCTGCAAGAGCAATAATCATCAGTAAAAAGTAAATGGTAATTTGAACAATGAGAGGTTTTACAACAGTTTTTACTTAATTTTAACTTGTGGCTTGCATCTGAGAGTGCATCTGAAAAACTAGATTTTCTGCCTTTTGTACTGGAAATCTTACCGGCTCTTATTTATGTCTCTAGATATTGATTTATTACCATACATATGGTCAGTAAATTAGAACTTTTATTTACTTGCTTACCAAGCAGAAAACCTCTTTTTAAAAAAAATAAAGTCAGTGCACATCTTTGAGGAGTTTTAATCCTTATTGTATCACTGGGAGAACGTTTGATTTGTCTGATATTTGATTTGAGATGGTCAGTTCTCATGAGCTGTGATATTTATTATTTGTAATTTTAGATATAAACTAGTTATAAATTCACAAAAGACTGAAATGACCTAACAGAACGCCCTTTAGAGTAGACAAAGTTATGTTTCTTTTTGCTAATTGATACAAATGTTATATTTTGGATGTTATATTGACCAGATAGTGAAAGTAAATTGATTTATACAGTACACCACTTAGAATTTATTTAAAGGAGGCGTATTGTGTGTTTTTGCTTATGCTGTATAGCAAAATCAAGAAACTATGTTGCTTTCAGTTGTTATAAAAATGCTGTATGTATCAAAAACAACATAAAAAATGTTTGACTTTGTGTCATATTTGACACCTTGAAATTGGTCTCTGTCTCTTTAAGGACCTCCTACCCTTTCTGACACTCCTTCTTTAGAAAGTCATCACAACAACATTGATTTCTTTACAACTGTTGTAGGAAGCATTGTTCAGCAGCAGATATGCAGTTCTGCCAGGTGTTTGCTATGATGCTGCCTAGTCTAGTGTATATGTGTGGAGGACGCACAGGTGATGGGTGGAGCTTTGAGTAAATAGGCGGGGTTAAGGCATCCCCAGATGCAAGGATTTCTCAGAAACACATGAATGAGACAAAGCAACACTCCAGGATCTGTTTTTT